CATCCTTCACCCACGCCCGGAGTTATGGAAGCTGTGGGTGTGGCCCCTGAGGGGGCACAGCTCCTAGCATCCGGTCTCTCAACTGGGGTTGTTGAGACCACACTCCAGTCCAGGGCTCCTGCCACAAGGAAACAGTACGCTTTGAAGTGTAAACTTTTCACTTCTTGGTGCGGCCAGCGACTGCAAGACCCAGTCAACTGCCCAGTTGGTACAGTTCTGGAGTTTCTGCCGGAGCGATTCTCCGCAGGGTTATCTCCCTCCACTCTGAAGGTATACATGGCGGCCTTAGCTGTTTACCACGCCCATCTGGGTGGTCAATCATTGGGAAGACACCCACTCGTCACTTGTTTCCTCCGTGGCACCCTGATGCTGAGGCCAGTACAGCGCACCAAGGTGCCCTCATGGGACCTGGTGGTGGTTTTGGAGGGCTTGTGCAATGCCCCCTTTGAGCCCATAGAGGAAGTTCCAGACAAGTTCCTCACTCTGAAAACAGTCTTTCTCCTAGCTATTTCCTCTCTGGAAAGAGTCGAGGATCTTCAGGCACTTTCAGTTTCGTGCCTGGCGTTTGCCTCGGGCATGGTTAGGGCATTCCTTTATACGAGGTATATCCCTAAGGTGCCCACTTCTACGCCAGGGCCCATAGTACTACAGGCGTTCTGTCCTCCTCCGTTCCAGGAAGTAGGCCAAGAAAGGCTTAATCTGCTCTGTCCAGTACGAGCACTGGACGCTTACGCACAGAGAGCTGCCCCGTGGTGTAAGGCAGATCAGCTGTTTGTTTGCTTTGGTCCGCCTAAGAAAGGATCTCTAACGACCAAGCAGACTATGAGTAGGTGGGTGGTCATGACCATCTCACTAGCCTACGAGTCCTCTGGCCTCCCGTCACCTATGGGGGTCAGAGCGCACTCGACCAGGAGTATGGCGGCCTCCAAGGCCTTCTCTTTGTGTGTGGCCCTGCAGGACATTTGTGCTGCGGCGGGCTGGTCCTCTCTGCACACATTTGTCCGCTTCTATAACCTGGACCTGGCATCTACCCCAGGGTCCCAAGTCCTCTCGTCGTGATGTGCTCGTGAGATACACACACAGTCAGGGGCTTGGTAGTATGGCGCAGTGGGTTTTCTTGTTCCCAAAGTGTTTTCGACGCAGCTCGAGTTCCTGAACGGGAACGTCCCTAGGTTACATATGTAACCATGGTTCCCCGAGGGAATGAGACGCTGCGTCTCCTTGCCATACTCCCTGCATCCCTGCAGGCTCTACTTCTTCGAAGCTAACTTGCGCTTTGCCGGATGTGCTTTTATGCTTCCTGCTTGCTCACGTCACCCCACTCGTGACGTCTCGCTGCTCTATTAGACTGATTTCACATGTGCTTCAGAATGCGATCACGCAGGGGCGTTCCCAAAGCGTTTTCGATGCAGCGTCTCATTCCCCCGGGGGGGGAACCATGGTTACATACATAACCTAGGGAAGTTTTCTTCCAGATAATCTTGTTTCTCAGAGTCTGAGGGTCCTTTAGGTGCTGTTTTGCAAATTCCAAGTGTGTTTTCATGTGTCTTCACTGAGGAGAGGACTGAGTTTGGTCACACCGTCAAAAAACTTTTTTGTCGCCTTCCCCAGGTCTGTGCCTCGATACAATCCTGTCTCTGAGCTCGGCAGGCAGTTCCTTTGACCTCATGGCTTGGTTTTCTCTCTGATATGCATTGTCAGCTGTGAACCCTTTTATAGAGAAATGTGTGCCTTTCCAAATCATGTCCAATCAATTTAATTTACCACAGGTGGACTCCAATCAAGGTGTAGAAACATCTCAGCAATGATCAAGAGTACTGTATGTGTGTGTCTTTATATATACATAATAAATATACATAGTACCCACACATATATTCTGTAAACAAAAACTTCTATTTTGGATGTGATTAATCATGATTACAATAAATAATATTGGTCTTGGGTGTCCCCAGAATGTGTCTGTGAAATTTCAGCTCAAAAGCACCCTGAAGCCAAGATGATTGGTGTACATAGTTTTTCAAATTCAAAATTTCACGTTTAATTCAATGTGTTACTTGCCATTTCTTTGTAATCTTTTGAATCTTTCTTTTTCTCCCAGTGTTCATTTGAATGCTGCACAACAAACATACTGTCTCAGCATCCAGCATGACAGGCCGATCAAATATTCTCTGCTCAGGAATGGGAGGCACCTGATCTAAATTTCAAGAGTTGTTGCAAAGGGTCTGAATACTTGTGTAAATATGATATTTCAGTTTTTTCTTTTTAATACATTTACAGACATTTCTAAAATTCTGTTTTCACTTTGTCATTATGATGTACGGAGTGTAGATTAATGAGAAAAAAAAAAAGAATTTAAACAATTGTAGTATCAGGCTGCAACATAAACTGAAAAAAAGTGAAGGGGGTCTGAATACTTTCTGAATGCACTGTATATACCATAACTGTGAACAGAGCTTTTCTGTGATTTTGGACATGCTGGCCACCTCTCGTTGAACATGCTGAAATAATCTGTCAGAAGGCGATTTATATTGTAAACAGGATCTCACCGGTTTGCAGGATGTTTAGATGAACAGCTGCTCTGACAGTGCCAACAGGACTGACGGCCTGGCACTCGTACTGGCCCTGGTCATGAAGGGCCACGCGGCTGATGCGCAAGCTGCCCGATGAGAGAACAACGTGCCGTCTGTCATTAGGCAGGGAGCTGCCTATTGTAGGAGAACAGAGTTTTAGTGATTTTGTCCAAGCTGAAAACAGTTGAAATAATCACTGACAGACAGCAATTCAATAATCTATAAATGTGTCCTTGTGGCCTTTTAAGGACAGTTCAGAAGAAATTAAATTCTGTCTGAGGCATGCTGTTGATATTTCACGTTTAATTCAATGTGTTACTTGCCATTTCTTTGTAATCTTTTGAATCTTTCTTTTTCTCCCAGTGTTCATTTGAATGCTGCACAACAAACATACTGTCTCAGCATCCAGCATGACAGGCCGATCAAATATTCTCTGCTCAGACACAGGTGAATTATTTCATAAACTATGAGTCACATGGGCTTTTATCAGGGTCTAACATGTTTCAGTCTCAAAATTGCATCTTCCTCCCCCGGGCCTGAGAAAATAAATGTTACGGTAAATGGGAACAAGCGGCCAATTAAAGCAGCATGACGGATGACCGTGGTGCTGAGACAACAGACCGAGTTCCCTGACTACCTGCTGAGAGTTTAGAAATAGAGCATGTGTCACATAGACGATTGTTTCCTGAGCACGCTGGGCGGCTGCATTGATTTCAGCCCCTTATCCTGCCAAAGTTTTACTTGTGAAATATTCCTCATGACTCACTCTGTTTGTAGCCTTAATGCATCTCAAATTTAAGTGAGCTCCTATTAATGACCGAGCGAAATGTCAGGAGCTCTCTGAGGTTTATTGCTGTTCAGTGACATTTGTGTATTAGCATTTATTAAAGGTCTCTGCCTAATGTGATCCTTAATTGACAATTATTATTATTTAATTTATTCATAAATGTACAATGAAATGTTCTGCATTTAGGCTTGCTGTACAAGCTATTAGTTAATAAAAGGTCAAATACATCTTCAGTAACTAGAACAGTGAAATCAGCCTATTATTTGTTTATAATTCATAATAATGAAGGATGTATGGAAGAATCAGACTTCAGTGGTTCAGTCTCATCAGTCAAATCTATTTCAGTTCAGGATAAAGCATATGATTTACAGAAAAATACCTTGTAAAAACTTTGTTTTTGGCCTCTAGTCAGGTCTATTTGCTTTCAGGTCATCTATATAGAGTGCTGTAGTGATGATATATTTTTAGGCCAGCCCAAAAGTTAACATCAGCCTGGTTTCCATCAGCTTTTTTTTCATTGGCTGTTGGATTATTGCTGAAAATATGTGACCAACAAAAAGTTTATGATTCTTACATGTTTCGTTTTCTTACACATTTCATTACGAAAATCTTTACAAATGAACACAACCTTTTGAATTTTTAAGCCTTGCTTGGCAGAAGTAATAAGCGAAATGTAAGCTATAAGGAAATGACGCATGACTTCAACTTCACCAAGTTTCTGATAACCCTTTCAGTCTTCATTTAAAAAAAACTTTATTTAAAACTTCCATGAAACTTTTTTTTGTTATCAGCAAGAGTGAGCACAATTACAAACACAATGAGGCTATGAAAGCGACAAGTGTGTGGATGAGTTTATCTGTTTGGTTTGATGACGTTTAATTAAATGTCCCCGGAAACCTGTATAGTCCCATTTAGCCACTTGTTAGCAACCGCCCTTTTCAAGACATGTGTTTATTACCTTAAAACCCACTCAAAAAACCCATTGACTTCAGGACGATGGAACTGTAAGTGCTAACATGCTAACTCATTTCCAGGTTTTGGCCTACAAAGCTGCATCATCCCTGCTAGCTAACTCCTTAATGCTGACACAGCTGTCTTCTACCAGACATATGTGCATTTAAAATGTGCAGTTTTGTTTATTCAAAGAACAACAACACAATATTTTTTAAAATGTGCAGTCTATGCAGTACCACTACTAGGACGCCATTCTGTTGTGGACATTAGAATGTATGGGTTAAATACATGCATATTGTATAATAAATTGAAATTATTTTAAATAAAATGTTTTGTATTGATTTATTGTAAATATTGCATCGTTAATATAAATTCAAGGACTTTTGCTGCATAAGGTATTGAAATAGGTAGGAACAATTTCATTCATAATATTTATAATCATATTATTTCGTAAAATGTTTATTAATATTGAATTAAGTCATCTGTTTTTATTGCTTATTTACTGCGTTTCTCCTCTGTTGTTTATCACACAGTTAACATTGCAGCTCATTGCTGGCTAAATGTCACTTGTTGGCTTCAGATCTGCGTATTTCGAGCTCAGGTCTCCAGTGTTTTTGTTTCCTGCGCTTCGAACTGGTGCATGCGCACTTCCTACGCAGTGTTGTTGCACTTGAAAAACGCCTGCTGTCGTTTGAACCCGGCGCGCAGCAGCCAATCAGAGCGTAGGTTTTTGTCTCGCGCAGGGCCGCTGCATGTTTGCTCATCATGGTGAGTCCAAAAAAAACAAAACAGACAGTTTATTCCCATAAACTCAAAACTGGCGTATTCTAGCATTTACAAACGACGCATATACACACTGAACGGTTTATTTGCTTGGGTTAAAGACTTGTAGTGAAGAAATGGGCATATTACAGACAAAATAAATGGTGGTTAGCATGTAAGCTAATGTGAATGAGTGACTGATGCTAAAGCTAAAGCTAAAGCTACCGAGTGTTTGAATGAGAGTTTGGATTTATTATTGTGATTATTAAAGCACGTGTGTTAGACGTGTTACATATCTGATTGTGTGAAACATTTATGCTTGTAAGTAGTTTGTTTATGATTATCTGTTTGCAATGATGTTGATGTTACTGTGTTAGCCTAGAGGATATAGCCTAAACTCCATCACACTGATTGATAAACTGTGTTTTTATTGATAATCGGCGACTGATAGTCCATCTATTCCTGATGAAGGTGAGACGGAACTCTTGATTTGTCAAACTCTGATAAAGCTATGATAAAACAGTGGAGTCTGAGTGATAGTTGATTGAGTTTTTACATGCTTGATTTGTTAAGGGCAGTAAGATGGTAAGAAATCTCGGGTTTGTTATACATTTGAAGTATGTATACTAATAAGCTTTAAGTTATGCTAGTTGCTTTGAGTGAAATATTTAGGAAACGTCTGACAGTGATGGTTCTGCTCACATAAGCTTGGATGTGTTGGTTGGCTCTGTCAGATTAGATAATTATTGGGAAAACCTCATCACACTTCAAGCCAGTAATGTGCAGCATATTTATCCGAGCTGTAGTGGTGACTGTACTGGACTCTCTTGTTCATAACAGTCCTCGACTGATGCTAATAGTGGCCCCAGTCAAGCACCACCTTTTCCTGGTGTCCCCCCACCTTCAGGAATCCCCCTGCACTTTGTAAGTTGCTGTTGGAAAGCCTTTACTGTAAAGCCATCTCTCGGTCTTTGCGATTGCTTGGTTGTGTTCATTCTCATTCATGTCTTGAATTTATTTTTGTGTGTTTCAAAGATGGGACCACCAGGAATCCCGCCTCACTTCCCTCCAATGGGAATGCCACCCAATTTACTGCTGATCACAGAACTGTGCTTCACTGAAAGATACGCATGACAATCGCAGCTTCTGTCGAATCGCGATCTCGATTCCATTTCGATTTATCGTGCAGCCCTAGGTGGGTGTGAGGAAAGTAAAGTGTTTTTTTGTTAATTCAGAAGTGATTAGAAAAATCAAAGTTTAAATCATCTCATTGGTAACAAACTTGAAACATTGTAATGGTGGTGTTTTTTATTTGCCACAAGCTCTACAGCATGGCCCCCATGCCCCCGGGAATAATGCCCCCCATGATACCCCCGATGGGAGCTCCACCCATGGCACAGGTAAGAGCTCATTTCACTTCACAGATTTCACTTTGAAAGGAAGCAGTGTTTTTAAATCAGGGTTTTACATGCTATCTTAGGGACATGGGAATGCACACATGCAAAGTAGCCTAGCTGTACAAACAGTAGCACAGCGCGGCTGACGTTGTACATCACATGACAGTGCCATTCTGGTGTTTTTTTGGATGGTGGTCATAAAATAACCTCTTCATCAAATGTAGCATATTCTCTGAGAGTACACCAAATTGGATGCAAGGATTGTCACATGAGCAATCTGTAATTTTAAGTGTGTAGAGGATAGTAATGATTGTTCATTTGTTAGGAGTCAGATTTTGTCTAATGATTTGAAGTTCAGTGGGTGCTGATTTAAATAATGATTGAGTTAGAATTAGCCTACAGTCCCTCATTTTACATTTTACAGCAAAGGATATTTAAAGAACTAAAATCTGACAGGTGGGTGTAGGGCTGCATGATTAATCGAATGCGATTGTCATGTGCATTTTGATAGTAATGCCGGTTCTGTAATCAGCAGGAAATCATCATCACGTGCTTTTGTAAGTGAGAATAACGCAATATCTGCCTTTGAAAGGAACAGATACCAACGAGATCAAAGGGTCAGAACTGTCCGTCTTGACTGCGCTTATTTCACTCCTCCACTCACTGCAGCCGCCTACTCTCGCCTTCATTTCAGGCAAGGCGAGGCGCATCTCAAACACTGCGTTACAGCAAAAAGTAATATACTACTGTAATATTATTACTTTTGTAATGCGTTACTCCCAACACTGTTGGTAACAAACTTGAAACATTGTAATGGTGGTGTTTTTTATTTGCCACAAGCTCTATATAAAAACTTAAAGGGATATTTCACCCAAAAATAAAAATTACCCCATGATTTACTCAGCCTCAAGTCATCCTAGATTTATATTACTTTCTTCTTTCAGACCAATACAATCGATGTTATTTAAAAAAATATTTATGCACTTTATTTTGCTTCAAAATCTCGACCACCATTCACTGCCATTATAAAGCTTGAAAGAGCCAGGTCGTTTTTTTTTTTAAATACAACTGTATACAATTGTATTGGTCTGAAAGAAGAAAGTCATATACACTTAGGATGTCTTGAGGGTGAGTAAATCATGGTCTAATTTTCATTTTTGGGTGAACTAGAGTTGAGCGTCTCAATATCAAGTGTTGTATTTTAGTATTTGGATTTTTAAATTCATCTCTAGTAATGTGAAGTGAAACACAAAATAAATACACATGCACACTCACACAAAAAAGATCCTGCTGTCTGTTTTGCAATCTGGTCACTTGATTTTCTACAAATTTAGCAATACCTCACAACTTATTCTATTGTGCTACACTTAGAATCTGTTGTTTTGATATCCTTCTCTGTGCGTCCCTGCCAGTTTATTTTTTGCAGGGATTTTAATATGTTATGTATATTAAGAAGAGTGGGGTGAGACAGACAAGACGATAGCTGATGATTTAGTTTCGAAACGAAATGCAAAAGCCAAGTTTGGCAATATTTTGTCATATTATATCAATATTATGACAATGACAATATTATATCGGTGTTGTCACACGGCAATTAACCGGTGGGAAAATTTCCTCATCGTTACAACCATACTTTGATAGCATTCCGTAACGAACATACCAGATACTTTATTTTTCTTTCTGTCAACTTGACGGAAAGTAGGGCTGTCAAAAATAATTCGAATTTCGAATATTTGTCGAATTTAAAATAAAAATCCACATTCACAATTTTAGGTGTGCGTTAAGGAGGCAGCGTTATCAGTGGCGCACGAGATGCGCTGACGATGTAAGTGTCGTTGTATTATAATGTTTTTGTTAGCCTATCCAGTTGAAGCCACTAGATGCGGCGCTGCTGCGTTGTTAATTACAAATATTGCGGGAAAAGAGAACATCAATGCGGAGAAGATCTTGTTTACGTCAAAACTGAAACCAAGCCGTTCACACAGAACACATATATCGTGCATTTTCTAGAAGGACATTTATTACTGTTGCACTCGCGTCTCGCACAAAAGAGCCACATGTTTAGAAAGCCATGTAAAATTAATGCAAGTTTAACTTTAAATAAAAACTTCTCTCAAGACTTGGAAGGGTTTTCTCCCCCATCCCACTGCAACTCGAGTTTTTAAATGAAAAATGTAATCTGTGTGATTGGCTTTCTGCCCTTAGTATTAAACTATGAATACATACATGATGCTGTTTTGTTTATAGTTGTTTAAAAGCAACTTAATTAAATATAATTGGCTTATAAACATTTTAAACATTATGCACTTTTTTCACAGATAGTCATGTTATCTTATATATGCTTTGCATAAACGTGCATTGGTCGATGCGCCCTCTTGTGGCCTCAGGAGAGAAGCCAAAAGCTTTTCTTCACCCTAACTGAAATTATGCATTTTAAATTAGAATATAATTAGAATTTTGATAATGTTTAAGTACAAAATTCGAATTTAGTTTTTCAGCCATTTTGATAGCCCTAACGGAAAGCATGTTGAATTTACAAATTTGCTAGATGATGGAAAATGTTACCACTAAGAGTCACATTGCATTTTTGAAGTGTCCAGTATTTTTTTCTCATCACTTTCAATTTCAACATGGCTTGCGCTGGATTAGACAAGACAAGACATGACATTTGTAAAGCCAATTTCATACTCGGTTTCCCCGAAAGCACAGTGTAAAAGATAAATATCCTGATCTTCTGATAAAATACACTGCTAGTTTCAAAAAAGAGTCATTCTGATTTAGTGAGAATAGGAAAAGCCGCACCACAGCTATAGCAATATTGACAATGTGGAAAGATACGGTTTTGGTTTCAGCTGATGAAGAATAAAGACACTGACAGCCAATCAAAATCCACTTTAAAAAGCTTGAGCATGTAATGCGGCTGATTATATAACTGCAGTGTGCATTGATAATGTAGAATGTCATCGCTTGAATTAATAAACAACAGACAGGACCGATCTCTTTTTGTTATTATTTTTTTACATTTTCTTTAAACACATTGTTCTGTTACATGTTCTTACAACATTTCAGCCGAATATTAATTATAAATGTTAACTAGATGTGTTCACTACCTGTCTAGTGATTAGGGGTGTAACGATGCACGTATTCGTATTGAACCGTTCGGTACGAGGCTTTCGGTTCGGTACGCTTTACAAACCGAAAGATTCGTTTGAGTAATCCTATTACATTTGGGGGAAAAAATAGCTTAAAGTGAGTGAAATATAATGTACTCCAGGTTGTGACGGTTGAGGTAGTTCGTTAGGAGTTTTCCCTCTTTTCCTCGCTTTTATTCGCTTTTAAATAGCTTGTAAATGCTTGTGCGCATTTTACATTCACTTTCGAACTAGTTGCATTTCGGCGTCAATTGAATTGTCAACAACAAAACAGTACGACAAACTCACTAACATTAAACATAGAATGTTTAATTTATTAACAAAACAAATACAAATACGCCATGCTATAGGCCTAATATAAAATAACAAATAACTTACACAAAATTTAATTATAAAACACTGAAAATCAGCAAACACGGTGGAACCAAATAAATAAGAAACGAATGTTAAAAAAGCTTCCAAAATCATCTTAAACGGCAGAAGTCAAAAGGCCTTCCAAAGTCTAAAATATTTTTAAGATCATATGATACTAGTTTTAATACATTTTTAAAAAAAGTAAAAATCAAGGAAATTTGTCTGGCATTTCTTTGTTTTTGCTGTATCGAAAACATACCGAACCGTGACACCCCTGTGTCGTATC